AAGAAGCAAGTTGACCCAGAATTTGGCTAATGAAAAATATAAAATCTGGACAAATCAATGTACTCTTAGCCAACAAAACTTCTGAATGCAGCATCTATAATAGTTTGATGTTCCAACAAAACTTCTGAATGCAGCATCTATAATAGTTTGATGTTCTAACCTGTTGAAGATGATCCATGGTCCTCAAAGGCCTGGAGAATTCAAAAAAGTATGTGCCCTTTTTTCCATTTTCTGCATATGGACTCTCATCCTCTACAAATCCTGTTAAAGGAAAGAATGTGAATTTATAAACGATGGGGTAAATCGTTACAGAGAGATCAAATGAAGGCAGATATTCATACATGAGGTTACAATAGAATCCAAAATATACTGTAACATAAAAAAATAATTACTCTATGGCAATAAGCCATAAGAAAAAAAGGTGGCTGGCTATCCTTCTTTCATGGATCACTGAACTTTTGGGACTTAGTGGGAGATTAATCTACCTAGACGACACCAATCATATATTACAGAAGTCTGAAAGCAGCTGCCGTTTTACCCGTTTACATGTCTAACTTTTTTTAAATAAAAAATCTTGACATATCTCACATTCTCACAAGAAAAATCATTCATGCATACTGTGTGATACATATGCTTATGTATGGGGGTTGAGCTTATGGAAATGCACTGCAGGGGAAACCTCGGTAATAAGATTAGTCTCATACATAAAGGGTATGAAGATACCTGGCTAAATACCGAAAAAATATAAGGTACAATACTTTAACCATTAATTTCAGGATTTCGGTTACTACAACCAAAATTTCAGCCAGAACTCAGCTTCCAAATGTAGTTAGATTCTTTATTTGTAAAAAGAGAAGTCACCTGAGTGAACTGTAAAGCTGCTATGCCACCAAGCACCCTTCCAGTCGTTCTGGGCACTAGAATCATTAGCTGGCAACAGGTGAAAGAAAAAAAATCATTTAATATCAACCTTAGAATAAACATTAGATAACTTGAAAGATTAACAACAAATGGTGTGGGGTAATGTTTTCCTTTTCCACATACCTGAACCTGAAGGACCAGTTCCGTCGAGGTATCTACAGTGTGGATTCCAAGCATAAACATCATCCAAGTGGCCAAACCTGTACCATAAAAAATATAGGAAACTGAACGAACACATATAGTGAAACCAGAGCCCCATTATAATCAAACTTGTCTAAAAAGTCAACCAATGTGATGAGTGAAAATCAAGGATTTTTTTCTGCTCATTACCTGTCCCCTCCATTTCCATTCCTATTGTCTATGGAACTCCCACCATAAAGCCGTCCTGGAATAGCATTCCCAATGGAAAAGTGCATAATGTCAACTTCATGGCCTTTGCAGGTCTTGCTTGTGCATGAGGCTGGATGTTCCTCACAACCACCCATCTTGTAACAGATCATAAAACTTATATCAATTCATGTTTCATAATGATCTTCTGGTAAGGTTAGGATTAGATACAAAGCAACAGAGTGCAAATCTTCATGAAAATTTTAATAACAAAGAGCACGAATCAGTGCACCAACCAACTTACATTATGATAAGTGGCACTGTCCCCAATTTGAAACATGAGAGCAATAGACGGGCATTTGTTGCTTTCGCTGCATAGCCAAAAATACACCAACTAAACAAAAGATTATCATAAACTAATGTGAAAAGGAAGTCTTTCTTATTTAATTTTTATTCCCTTTTTCAATCACTTGGGAACCAGATATAATAAACGTTCTATAAAATAGCAACCAAATCTAGACTTTTCACTAGATAGGGTTGGCTACACGGGTCATATGACTACAATTTTCTATCGTAAATCATGTCTATAGACAAACCATTTAAATCTAACTTTCTTAATGGTTTCGCCTAGAGTTTTTCTTGGTTTCCATCTACCTCTAACTTTTCCATCTACCTCTAACTATTGGGCTATCCTCCATGTGTTCTACTCTCCTTATTATACTTCAACATGTCCTCTCCACTTGTGATCAAACCACCTCGGGTAAAATTCTACCATCTTATCTAACGTGTCCACTCATCCAACCCAATATTGTCATCTATACTACATTGAGTTTATTCTCTTGTTGGATTATCATCGCCCAATATTCAGTCTCATATTATAACATCACATATCTTGTAATTGTGCATTAAAAAATTTCACCAAAGCTTGAGTAGTACTTCTTTATCATAAATAAAATTAATGTAGTCCTTCATTTCATCCATCTCAATTGAATCCTAAGGTTTATATCTCTAATTCATTATCATTTTGTATAATCGACCCACACATTGCATATGTCTTAATTGGGAGCAACTCACGTGAGAACAGTGCGTTATCGTGAGAAATAAGAACAATTAATATGAACCATTTGATCTTATTTGAATGGTCAAGATTAAAAGATATAGACACATGACTATCATGTGACCAATAACTAACTTTTAATCTTAATCATTCATGATTGGTTGTAATGTCCAGATTTATTGTTCTTACAGTTCTTATATGAGAAATGTTCTCACTTGAGTCATCCTCTGTCTTAATTTTGCTTAAATAAAAGTCATCTGCCTCATAAGCTTGTTTCCATATCTCTAACTTTCCATTTATTCCCTCCATCTACTCTCCAACCAGGACTATTTTCTTAGATTTCATGTTAAAACCAACTGACATTAAGTGCACTATCCCCCAACACATGTAAAAACCGCACTTGAGAAATTGTGGCAGGCAATGTGAGACTTTCATCACAAGGATAGGAGCTTTCGAACCAAAAGGTACATAATGGAAACAATAGAGATGAACTATATGGGCCTCGATACCATATTAGATTTCATCTTAAAACCAACAGACATTAATTAGTGTAGCCCAATAGGTATATAAACCACACTCCACGAATCGAGGTGGGCGAAGCACATCCAAGATCAAAGTAAACAGATAAGGTCTCAAAGTTGACCATTGTAAAGTCTTACTCTTATCTTATATCTTATATAGTGAATAGAAATTAGTTGATTGATATGACCTCTTAACTTACCCTTTAGAATATGCATAATCACCATCCACTTGCAGAAGAAAGAAAACATCGTGGCCATCATGCACACTCTGAAACAAATCAATAATCAATTAAAACACCAATCAAGTACAATAAGGGCAATAATAACAGAAGGAAACGTACCTTAAGAATCAATTTTCCACCTTTGAATTCATTTTCAGAATCTGGGTCAAGAGCAGGGAGAAGAGAGAAGTGGGACCCATCAATTTCCTTCCAATCATCGGCATGGCCATCAAGTGTAATGACTCCGGGTCTGAAATCGGATTCAACTCGGATCTCTGACTCGGACTCGCACCTCCACTCACCTGATTCTTCGTGAGAATCCAATCCTCCAAAAATGGAAGCCAACAATAACAACGATACCACAAATAAGTCACGAAACATTATTGTTATTATGTTTATGTGTTTCAATATATTGTTTTGGAGATTAAATAAGTAAAGCTAAAAATTGATTGGGTGATTGTTGTCAATATTTTGGTTTCAGGTTTTATTTGACCCGCAACGATAACCTAGCTTCTTTGGTAGTAAGTAGTATAAGCCAGTTTCAGGTGTGCTTCACTTTTCTTCTTTGCTATAACTTCAACTTAATTAGGTGAGACCTTCACGTTTATCATGCCTAATTTTAAAGATAGAACTGTAATATGTGTACTTTCACTAATTCATAGCGTGCTAATGTAATAATTTACTCTCATCTGATGGTAATGTTTATCTCTCCAATAAATGTGCATACATGAATCAAACCACTTCGAAATTGAAAACAACAACTTAATTAAAAGATTTTTAAAAAATGAGAAATAATGTGTGAAAAATGAAGAATAAGTAAAAGTATATAGGAAAATAAAGCATAAATGTGTATTTGATTTAAAAAAATGAATGGCATATTAAATGGACAGAATATCTTTTATGAACATAAGAGTGACAACGAATCGAATAAACACAACATTCATTTGAAATTTTTCTTGTTATTTGGCATGATGAATTTGGTTACTGAACCAGATGAGTTAAACTTGAGCTAAAAATTGAGATAAAAAATTGTAACTCAAGTGAAAACAATTATCATTTAAAAATTACAATAACGATAAATCAATGTCATACAAATATACATATATGATTAAGATTACAAATTATTTAATGGTTACATGATAACTTAAAAATAATAATGTGTACTTATCTTTTAATTTTGAAGATTTAAATAATATCAATTGTATAAGTTAATTGTTATCATTTCTCATATTAAAAATTATTTCCCTTGAATCAATTTCTATACATATAAATATTTACATTTCAACTTCAATACATAAGTTTTAACTGATAGTTAATCTATTATTAATATTTACAGACATTCTCTATATGTTTATACACTACTATATAAAGACAAAACATGCCTAAAAGTATTAGGTAATTGAACATGTGTAATTTCTATATTTCAACTATGTTTTTGCTATTATATAAATGCAAAATATACCCAAATGACATTTGAGTAATTGAAACTGTATGATTTCATTTAATTCCATTTATATAGATAGAGTTATGACATATTGCATTTTGAAGAAGTTTATGATGTATACTCTTGTACTATGAGCATTATAATAAAAACAAAAAAAAACTATAATATAAGGTACATTGAACACAAAAAATAAATTTTAATTCCCCAAAATAAAATATATAAAATTGAATATATATTATCATACAATATGGATCAACAACATAAAATTGTAGACCCTTTAAATTTATAATCGAGCAACATAAAAGTGAGTCCACTAAAGTGCTCGAAAGTTTGTAACTTTAATTGAGTTGAACTTGAATTAAAAAAGTAGTAAAACACTAACCCCACTTGAAAATTAACTCGGATCAATTCTTAACTAGTCAAGCTAAACTAAGTGTATACCAATTCGACTCATTCCACCCACCTATATAACACAGGCTCCCTTTTCACTTTCCATTCTACCATATTTGGAAATTTACTTATTTTTTTATCAAATAAATTAGAAAAACTCGATCACCATCACATGGAGATTCGTCACGTCCACTCCACTCCACTCACAAATAAAGTACAAAGTGCATTCACATGTATATTTTTCACCTAGACTCCACTTTTGCTGTTTCAAACCTACAAATAAAGGTGTTAAACACTTTCTGAATAAATAAATAAGTAAATATAAAGTATTAAACAATTTCTACTAATTTGGAATTTTCATACGAATTTTAGTATTTTCATCCATTTCCTTTTATCAAACTTATGTTAAAAAGTAATTTTTTGTCTTATTTTATATTGTTTTTAAAAAATCATTACTTTTTTTTATTTTGTTATTCTTGATATAGATAAATTAAAATTAAAATTAGTAGTGACAATAATAATATTTTAAGTTATTTCAATAAAGTAATTGAATCAACTAAAATAAACTTTATTTATTACTATCTATTTGTTATAGATTATGTTTTTAATATCAATTTATAAATTTTAAGATTATAAACTACAAAATATTTTTATATTTTTTTTACTTTAAGTAAAAACTGAATATAAACTGATTTGTTTAATTCGGATAAAATATAAATATTATTTTTTATTTTTTACATATTACCGTTATATTAGTCATGATTCATCAGTCAAAAAGGTCCCCCATTCATTTTAAACCCTAGCATGACTAGTGATTATAATTTTAAGGAGTGAAATGATAATCTCCTAAAGGAGTGGTTTGGTAGATGGGTCTGAAATGATGATTCTGCCTCTAATTAATTAAGTGGTTGTTATATAAAGAGTTGTAATATACAATTATAAAAATTTACACTTAATCATTATATCATCTAACATATAAGAGTCCATAATAATTAAACATGAATATGATATGAATGATACAACATGCCTTTATCAGGTCCAGTGCATATAAGTGACACTAATAAACCTAATGTGTTAAAAGGTTATTTTTGGTCGAGTTGTTTTTCACTTGGCCCAATTGTTAGATCTCTGGTCCTCTGAGCTATGTAAGTGTATGAATTTCATTGCCATCATGTCTTCAGGGTATGAATTTGATTTAGCTGCAATTTAAAAGCAACTAAGCAAGGACATACACAAATAAATAATTATGTGTATATAGCATAACATCGTTCCATAAACATGGAGAAAAAATAAATATAGCCAACTCTCATTCTTTCAATTGGCTTATAAGCTTATAGCTCCGATCGATGGAACCACAATATTGTGGTTGTGATAGCTGCTATAAATACAAGTGCAATGTGACATTGAATCACAACATGCAGCTACGTCCCATTATGTTTGGGTAATATCAAATTAAAAAAAAATGTTTTTCTAATCATAAAAAGTTGAGACCTCAAGGATCGTGAAAGCAAGAGCAATTCAAAACATTTACATCCAAAATAAAGCATGGGCTAGGCTTATGTATTATCCAGATCTGATGAAATAAAATATAAATTAAAATAATCGATAAAATATGGGGTTGAAGATTGAAGATGGCATACCATATGTAACAAGATGTTATGAAAACGGGGTTTCTCTATTTCCACGACAGAGAGAGAAATCTGAATCAGGGAAATGGAATACGAATGCAAATAAAAGTAAAGGAAAATGACAAATTTGTGCGTGAATCTAATACGGAAATGGAATAGAAAAGAAAATGAAAGTCCTTCACAATCTCTTTCATGAATTAGATTCACGCACAAACCTGCAATTTGCCTTTCCTCCTCATCTTCTTCAATTCAAATAATCTCCAATATGGTACCCAAACCTGACCTAGTATTTAAATGAAAAGGGGATATAATGTGATAAATAGTTAGGTGGGCAAGATACTATAAGGTTTTAATTAAAATTGTAATATATATGCATTATCGGTATAAATATAATATTAATATATTATTTATTATTTATTTGTATTATAGTTTTGAAAATTCAGATAATATTTAAATATGAATGATAGATATTATAATGATAATTTATAAAACTCTTACATTGCATTCATTTTTTATCTTTAATTAAACAACATTAGGAAATAATTAGGTAAATGTTAGGTGTGAAGTTATTAGAAGGTTTTCATTAAATAACATTTGGAAACAATTGGTTGAATGTTAGGTGTTGAAAGTTATTAGGAAGGTTTTAAATTATGTTAAAAAATAAACAGTGATATTATGATATTATTTATTATTTATTTAGATTATTGTTTTAACATTTATGTATTATCCATTAAGGTTTTAATATTTATATATTGTTAATATAAATATTAATATTTAGACTATTATTTTTGAATAATTAATGATAATTAAACATCAGCTATGCATTAACTGTCCATATATCTTTTTATAAGGATTAATTTTATTGTCCTAATGCAAAATTAAAATCTTTATCATTCTATTTTTTATTTATTCAATAATAATGGAGTGGATATTTAAAATGAAATTTGGATCACGAGTATGGATGATAATGGAACTGGACGGAAACGAATAGCGGATTTCTATGGGTATCCAACGAAAATTTAAATTTTATTGTTTATATATTTTGTAATAATTAATAAATAAAAATAATTTATGACATGAATAAAAAATATTTATATAATAAATTTATGATTATAGTCAAATTACAACAATTTATTATGAAATAAAAATAAATTTGATAATATATAGTAATATATAATTTTAAAATAATAATATAAATATGTGTTACCCATGAAGCATGTATCATAAAACTCGTTCTTAATCATAAGTTATTATTGCGGATACTTATTATGTGTATCTTACGGGTAGCCACGTGTCAGATTTTTTTATCATCCTAAAACACGAGGCATGAATGACGTTCGTTTTGTAGGTCAAATATGAGAATGTGTAGTTTTTTTCTATTACCAATGGCATTTTCATACCTTTTGAGCAAATAAATAATCACTTTTGTGGTATGTGACTCCTTATTATAACAAGTGTCGCTCTCAATAATCAAATTTTTGATCTTTTGATTATCTTAAAGATCTAATGAAATTTTATATCACTAGATTAACGTCTTATTGGTTGATGACACATACTTAAATTCAAGAAAGAGGACAAAATTATTTTCTAATGTTAAATTTTTGCTCAACTCTTCTTGAATAATTTGATTATTTTGTAACCCGGTTTTCACTAAATAGGGGTGACTCATTCAAAAGTTTATTGTTTCAAAAGGCTACTAACTATAATTTTTTTAATTAAGTTAGGATAAAAATGTGTTGTTGCGATGATTTTTCCAAAAATCAAGAAAACAAACTAAATTCATTGTTTAAGTAATTTTATTAAAAATATATAATTATAATAATAATAATTAAATGTAGTATCTAATTAGTTAATCGCTTCTAGATCTAAACGGCACAATTTTTCCCTAGAAAACTTATTCCATTTTGCTTAGTATAAGATATATCATTTAAAAAATTTAGTTCCTTTTATTAAATATTTATTATTTTTATTTTATTTTGTTAATTCATTAAAAGCAATAAATGTTTTAACTTTGTAAGAATATCATGAATTTTTAAAATTATATTTCTAAAATAATAATATTTACCCATTATAAAATTAACTAGAGAGCTATATTATTGCATATACATTAAGATATTTTATTGATGATGTTAATGGTATGACAATATTTTGACTAAAATGTTTTTGTAAATTATCAATATTCTATACTATTATATCCAAAACACATAATAATAATTAAATGCAATTTTTATATTACAAGTATCCCCTTAACTTATCCCCCCTCACCTAAATCTCTTTAAAGAAGTTTTAGTCATATGAAACCCGAGCTGGACGTCAAGCCGGAATTAGGTCTAATCGGTTTAACCAATTAAGCTGTTTGGTCGGATTGGATGATTTTAAATATAATTAATAATTTTTATATATAATTATATATAAATGTAAATTTTATATAATTAATAATTTTATATAACTATATTGAAGTATCATCTCTCTATTATTTTTGGACCGAAATAAACAAATCATTAGAGTAATGTTCCATTTTTTTAAAATTTTAAGTGAGCCGTCCAGTTTTCTTCATGGGTTATTCCGGTTTAACCGGGTTTAGCACGGTCGAACCGGAATTTCTCCGGTTCAAAGCGGTCCAACTAGTCATTTGGTTAAGACTACAAAACGAAACTGTTTTCAAGTTCGGTCAGCGATCGAACTGGTCGAACCGTCCGATCCGGTCCGGTTATCTGGTATACAATTTTAACATCAAGCCTGATTTTTTTCAAACGTTATTATTGCGCTGAATACTTTTAATATTGAGAATGATATTATTATGTTATGTTGGAAATGAGTGGCCAAATAGAAGAATTGGATATAAGGTGAGAGAGAAGTTGAACTTTATACAAATTTAGTGCAAATCATTTAATTCATTGTTTACTTTAAATATTAAAATTGTTATTCTAAATGAGTTAAGTTGAATAAAAATGTTTAATGCATAGATTCATTCTTATTTGTATACTAACATATGAAGAGGTGTCAAGTCAACCAATTCAAAATCTTTGTTTAATCTTTTTCTAAAGGTAATTCTTTTATAAGAATTTGTAACATGTAAATATTATATAATCAATTTAAAAAATATTAATGCACAATAAGAGTAATAGTTTGAATAGTTAATATATTACCATGTAAGACAAACGAGTATACAATATAAAAAATAAAATATTAGAGTGGGAATTAAAATAGAAGAGAGTAAATAAAAACAAATAACTAGTATAATGATTTGATAAATAAGGTAAATTAAAAAATAAAAAGGAAAAAATGTATTAGATTCATACATTGTCAACATATTACTATTGATGTTAAATCATTATTGATTATTCAAAAAAATAACCAAAATAAATAGGAAATAATGTTACAATTATGTACAAAATTTTACCTATTAAAAATGTACACTGTAGAAAATATTTGAAGTAAATAAAACTTAGTTGAGTAGTTAAAAAAAATAAACAACATAAATAACAAATATAGTAATTTTACTTTTAGCAACTAACATTTGAGAAAGTGGAATGTGTAACTTAAAAACTCTAGATTCTAGAAAGTGTTAAAACTTAAAAAGGACAAGAGTTATCATCATCGACTTAGTAACATTTGGGCGTGATATGTTTCTGGGAGCATCAAGTCAAGTTTAGTGGGCCGAGTACAATAATCCAGAATAAGCTGCATTTACTAGTTTCGGCGATTTAACAAGCCTTGTTTTGTTCAGGGTTTTTCTTTTTTGGGTTAGGTCTTAACTCTTAACACTAAAATTTTGTGTTAAAAAAACATTCTCGCCCCAATCATTCCTAAAGGGTGATCTCAAAGAAAAAGATTGTTAGCTTGTTAATCAACAACATAATTAAGAAATGGTGTTGGAGCAAAAGAAAAGTCTATGTCTCTGGTGATGTGATTATCTGAATTACTATTTTTATGCTTAAACCGATCAAGTTAAATCATGTCATCTCAATTTGATACAAAACTGATTCGTTGAGAGAATTAAATCGATAAGATATTGGTTCATGATTGAATCGGTAAGACCAATTAGATTTTTATAAGAGTGGCTAAAAGTTATTCATCCAAATCAGAAATTAAAAATAAAAAAATAATAATAAAAGATTGTCGGCTGGTGAGATGAATGAAACTAGGTGTGGGCTTAACTAATTCAGGTGGGACAAGATCACATGATCAATATTTGTCATGATGGGTGTTTGTTTTGTCTAATCTTTATCACTAAAAGCCATGGATTTGGAACAATTCCAACGCCATATTGAATTTCAAGTTGGACTTACGTAAGCATTACCATTGTGATACCTTTAATGCCAATAGTAGGTCAACCCAATCAAATTGGAGTTATGATCCTCTCCATTAATGGATAGGTAAGTATATTAAAAATCAATAAGAAATACAATTTTCAATGACACATGTATCCTTTTGATCACAAAGAAATTACACTTATGTCATTAAAAAATAAAGGAAATAATACATTTACCTCTCCATTAACAGATAGGGTCCTAATTCATCAAATTGCTACCACATTTCATCACTATGATGAAAAGGAAAAATACTTCTGTCAAAACATTGTCCAATTCATAACTATATTATTGTCTCCATTTTTATTTTTTACCACACATAACATAAAAAATAATTTCATACAATTATTGGATTTAATATTTATGATGATATATTAACAAGAGAAATAAATGTATGGATCGACTGTATATCAACTGTATAAAAGTTTTATACATTTTCATTATATTATTCATCATTCATGTTTAAACATAATTGGCTTTTCCAAAGATGTAATACAAATAAATAATAAATGATATATTTAATATTTCTAAATCATTACCTTAATAGTTTATAAAAATTACATTCTGTTAACAAGGTAAAAAAGTTCAGATTGGGAATATATATAAATATTAAACTAATAATTATTTGGCAAAAAGATGAAATGGCATGGCATTGATTGCTAGATCTATCATCCATCGATATTAGTGATGAACCAATGATGGAGTGATGCATTTACATTAATTTTAGAAAATATTATTTTTAAAAGAAAACGATGTATGAACTAATACTACTAATATATATATATATATATATATATATATATATATATATTAAACACTTATTTTTATATCATACATACAAACTTCCACATAAGAATATTTTGTTAGGGGTCAATATATTTAAATATTGTTATATGTCATATCAAAATTGAAATCAATTAATAATTTAATATTTATGTATCAATGACATAAAAGTTTTTTTTTATCAATTTAGAACTTCACTCATGTGTTAGTTATCAGTTATCGTTATTATTGTTTATTGAATAAAAATAATAAACATAAATAATGGATGATATTGGAAAAAAATA